TGTGCATATATATATGTGCATATATATATTTATATATATATATATATATATATATATATATATATATATATATATATATATATATGTGTGTGTGTGTGTGTGTGTGTGTGTGTGTGTGTGTGTGTTTGTGTGTACGTATGAATGCATGTATGTATATATATACATATATATATATATGTGTGTGCGAATACCATAGCCCTTATATCATAGGAAACAGGCATTCACAGTTTATTGAACAGTTCCCGGAACAAACATGCGTCTGGTGGAGGTAGAGGTTGGGAGCCGGAGTTTCGAGGCCTCCGTGGTGTTCCAGCTGCTGCCGTCGCCGTCCTTCGTGCTCAGCTTCAAGTCGCCCGAGCATTCCTACTTCGTGAAAGGTAGGCTTTTCGCTTTCTGTCTTCTTTTCTCCGTTTATTTTTCCATAGATTGCGTAATCACACCGATAAGATTATTGTTATTTGTTTTTGCTTGTGCTTACTGCTGGCTCAACGCTGGTGCATAACCGGAGCCTTGAGGAAGCAATGCTTAAGCCGCATTTAAGGTGGGAGAGAGTAAACATCACAATGTAAAAAGTTCAACGTAAAAAGTAATTAAAAAAAATAACAAGGTTAATGTGAATACGCGTAGGCTATATAACCTTGTTTCAGCATTCTCAGTGTAAAACCCGTACAGTAATGCAAAAGTATAAATTAAAATACAGTCTGACTATCCACTTCATTTATTAAACAAAAACACGTAGTTACGTTGTAATGCTTAATTGATAAGTTCGGGAACGCATATATAGTGTCAGAGGAGATGCAAAATCAGAATTGTGGAGCAGAGCAGTCAATGCCTTGTATGTATGTATGTATATATATATATGTGTGTGTGTGTGTGTGTGTGTGTGTGTGTGAAGTGGAGTTATGCAAAGGAGTTAGGCCTGGCTATAATTCCGAGGAGAGGCGTGTTAAGATGTTCCATCTATATACCCATAAACCCTATACAGTAGGGTTTATGGATGTTTCTTATAAAATTCAAGAAATGTGATTTGGTATTCTTCATCCTTCTTTTATCGCAGTCTCTCTTTGCTCTTTCAAAAATAGTTGAGGGCTTACCAAAAGCTATTACAAATTTAATAAATTATTGTTTAACAGCAAACATAAAACTCAAAACATAAAAACGACACACGAGCACGCAAAAAAACAAACAAAACAATGTTATAACAAATACGAAGCATAGAAAATTGTAACATAGAACCCACTTTTCTCATGTATACTTGGCTCAAACACTCAACTCTAGATTGCCGAGACCACCATCTTACTTTGCACCAAAACCACAGGAGACCCGTAGCTTTGAGACTCTAGAACCCAGGAGCTGGCTTTGAAGGGCAGGTAAACATTTCATTGTCACCTTGGCCCACAAAACTAAGGTTTGGTTCTCATAAATATTTGCAAAATGAAAACTATTTCTATAATTAATTGAATATTTTCCGTTTTAGCTCATAAAATGAAGAATAACATTTCTATGAAAATAAATCATACAAGAAAGGAGAAGTATTTTGTAAAATTGCCGCTTGTAAAATGAGTTCATAATCTGTTTAGTGCAAAATATTCATTTTAAAGAGTTTTGATAAAAAAGCTAAATAAAACATAAAGATTAAAAGTTTCTCTTATTAACAATCATTCATTTCTTTTCGGCAGTCTGTTTGGGCTTTTCCGGTTAAGCTTTAAGTCTTCTTAAGTTTTCTATTAGTCGAAGTTTTCTCGCCGCGACATTCTCATCCTAGGCGGGTAAAAACAGGGGCTATGGGCGACTTTGAAAACGTAGGAGGATGCAACCTTCACCATGGACACCGTCATTCTTCTCGTAAGGGGTTGCCCCTCGTGGGGGGGGGGGGCACGGAAAGCATAATGTAGGGGACCGTAGAGGATGTATGTCAGATATGCGAAGCTGAGCCTCGCCTGGGGATATGCCTATGACACAATCCGTGCTGCATAATGTCGTGTGTGAGCCACCTGGTGCTGGCTCGACTGAGTTTAGTCCTTGTCCACTGTGGTGTCCAACCACAGCAGTAACCTCTAGGCTACAAATGCAATTTTCGGGCACAAACCACCGACTCCTCGGGTGAGAGGCTGACACGTTACCTGGTCTGTTAGGCTGCTTGAATCATGGCATTGCAAGTCTGGCCTCAAGCACATCCATGTCTTCACTCTGTGGGGTTCATTGCATCTAAGACAGTGGCCCAAGGCATTCTGAAACGCTTGCCAGTTGGCATTGTCTGTTTTCCATCTATAATTGTACTGTGGCATTAGGACTGGATGAGCATCCAAGAGGGTGGTAACAGTGCCATAGTGGTTACTTGTAAAAGTCTCATCGACATACCATCTGATTCTCTCCACCTGGGCCGCAATGGCAAAGGTAAGGTGTAAGACCTCTCCCTAGACATACATTGGCTCTTGGGTATTGGGAAGAGCGACCTCGGGGAATGTCTCAAGCACATTGTCTATATGAGAGCCTTCCACATCCGGTCCCCTGTATGGAGCCTGAATAGGGTGGTGCGCACTGATATCTCCTTCTATGATCACTCGGTTCTTGTGCTGCCCTCGACCAGATGGATCTCAACAGCAAGACACTCGGCATCTCCACATTGCGGTGCATCGGCTATTGCGGAGCAGGTGATTGATGTTCTGACCAGGGTGATCAAGCCTAAAGGTCTACTGAGAGGTGTTCTGGCTCTGACTGCACAGTTTCTGCCTGTTTGGGCTCTGCTTGTGAGGGCTCAGCCAAGTTTGGAACAGGGAGCGGAGGGTGGAGTAGGAGCTTCCCTTCACGGCTGCAACAGTCTGGATCACTATCATCATGGCGACCATGACTGCCTTCTCCGCCTCCTCATTCGACCTGCTACTGCAGTGACTACAGCAGTCAACAGGAGAGTCATATCTTCCTCGTCAAAGAGGAGTTGGTCAGCTCTTGGGGAGGATCTTGCAGTGTTCTTTGAACTATAATTTCTCTGATTCTTTTTCTGCACACTTGCAAGGGCTAGAAACTTCTTTTTGTGTCCAGTGTCGGCAGGGGAGGTTCGTCCTACCTCTTATGAGGTCGGGGAGCGCTTTCCCTTTTGTTCTGTCCCTAGACATGGGTGCCTGGGGGAGCAGGAACAAAATCTGATACCTTTTCAAAGCGAGCTGACACCCTCTATTCGAGTCGGCATTAGTTGGCACAGGCTTCATACGCATAGCCAGGGCGAGACAGCTTCGCATATCTGGCTTATCATTATAACAACTCAAGCTTCTGGGCTAGTACAGTGGTAATGTATCAGCCTCTCATCCGCGGGGTCGGCGGTTCGTGTCCCGCCCTTGCGCGAGAAGTTGTAACTGTCGCCTGGAGGTTTCTGGGGGTAAGGAGTAAGCTTAGTCGAGTCAGCACCAGCTGACACACTCTAATCGAGTCGGCATTAGTCAGCATAGGCCAGGCTTCCTTCATAGGCATAGCCTGGACGAGGTTCAGCTTCGCATATCTGGCTTATCCTTTATGACAGCTTAGGCGATTTAGCACCAGCTAGCACACACATTAATTTTGCAAAAGGAAACCAGTCTGAAATGCAAAATGGTTTCAAAGTACAGAGAATAAAAATGAAAAAGTCGCAGCAGACACATCATGTGACTCATATAGATAATGTAATGTTATGTGAATCATGTAACATATGTGATTTTTCAGTTACGTATACGACTGATGTAAATACCACTCAAATTTATTAGAAATAAAATGGAGCATAGGAGCCAGGGTTGGCGGCAGGGTCCTCGCTCCGAGGATTACCGTAGGATGTGGGGCAGGAGAGAGACAGCTTGAAGGCAGGATAGAGCAGGGAAAAGGCAGGAGCTAGAACAAAAGGAGTAAATGATAGCGAAATTAGCACAGCGATGGAGGGAAGGGAAAGAATGAAAGGAGAAAGCTAGTATGAGGACTACTGTGGGAAGAAATGGGTGAAAGGGATGGGGGAATAGATGGGTCTGGTCTTGGGGGTTGGAAACCTCACAGCCATAAGGTAGAGTAAACGGACTTGCCCAGTGAGGATAACTGCATCCGTAGGCGCGTTTTCTGTTGTTATATTGGTTTTGTTTCACGTATTATGTCCTATAATCAAACGAGAATTCAAGAAGCACTTTATAAGCAACACAAACAATAGAAAGAAAATATATAATTAGAAACTATACATAGTTTGGACACCTTAAGGGGGGAAATCAATATTACGGTTCGAAATAGTCAACTTTTTAAAATTCTCCATCAAACATCGTGAGGTCAAGATAGGCTACCTACGCTATGTTTCGAGGGCTTTAGAATTGAAAGGTCCGACATTCTACGCACACGCCACTCAATTTAAGCTTTCACTTAGTTTCGCATATCTTCCTGTGTATCTTTTTTCGGATTTTGTCATTATCAAAATGTATGGTACTGTACGGCAGTTTCGGATCAGTAGAACGTGCATTTATTGATTTGTTTGTTTATTATTATTGTCATTATTATTATTATCATTATTATTATTATTATTATTATTATCATTATCATTATTACTATTATTACTATTATTTTTTTTTTATCATTATTATTATTATTATCATTATTATTATTATTGTTATTGTTATTATTATTATTATTATTATTATTATTATTATTGTTATCATTATCCTTTTTATTATTATAACTATCATCATTATTATTACGTTGAATTTCAGGTTTATATATGTATAGATATATGTACACTATATATATATATATATATATATATATATATATATATATATATATATATATATGCATATATATATAGATAGATATAGATATATATATAGATATATGTACACTATATATATATATATATATATATATATATATATATATATATATATATATATATATATATATATATATATACATTGGCGTAGCGAAGGGGGGGGTTCGGGGGGTCAGAACCCCCCCCATGGGCCATGGATATAGGGCACCATATCAAACTTGAAGTTATA